AAAGCTAATGAAGCACGTGTTCACAGACGCTTTGGTACTACTTAGATACCAGCATTACTAGCGCTTAGGACCAATCCAACTCTTTATTTACAAAATGAAGTCAAGCCTACCTGTTACCTATGACAAAAAATTACCAGGACCGGCTTATTTCAAAGTTTAAAACTGCTAACTGAATTTTGAAATTCAATGCGTTAATAGACTCACTTTTCCATCTAACGAGTCTGCACGTGGGTACCAGACGAAAAGTTAGAAGAAAACCTAGCTATCAATAAAAGTATTTTGCAGCACTCCTCTATGTATAATACAAAACTGAAGCATGTTCATTCCTATTCATAAACATACCTTACCATTACTGATTATTTGGTCTGAAAGTTCATGCTAAACAGCACCGTCATTTTTCCCCAGCGTGAATTCACAAGTATGGGGTGAAGTCACTGACTAGGATGAAATTAAGTAACCTTGTTGTTTGCATATGATGACCCTGCATCTTACACGTCAAACTAGTTGGCTTCCGTGAATATACGAATATAATGAACAACTTTCGATGTAAGTGATCAGAGTAGTGTAGAAGTAATTACCACTTGCTGGTATTCCAATTGTAACAAGCTTGTTAGCGCTGACTCTCAGAGCTAAACATTGACTAAATAACCGAAGGTCAGTAGATTACCACACTAGGGATATTTGTTTCGCTGGTAGTGATACCAGAACTCAAGCTAGTAATCTTCTGCACGAACGGGAACTAAGTACGAAGAGAGTAAAAATTATCGCTATACTATTGTGCAAATTGAATCAGAAAGAATTTTCAACAATAAAGATTTACGGAATGTGACATGGTGTTTCAGTGCACGTAACACCCCTCCAAAGCAAGCTTAAAATGCATGATTAACGAGTTCCCTTAGCTTCGTTCTAAGCATGACTAAACGTCAGAAAATAGAGAACCTATGCAGTTTTACAAACACAACAATGGACAAGTAAAAACTGAAAAAAAAGTGGAAATTGGAAACATAAATCAGCTCGAAACTAAATAGCAGCAACTAAGCAGCATATTTTCTCTGCTAAATTTGATGTTTCGACATCAGGGTTGAGTACATTTTGTAAAATCAGTCAATGAACCTAGAATTTCCAGGTATACCTGTATATCCCTAGCTGTCTGGTCAAGAAGATATTGGATTCTGTCCTGTTGTTCCTTTAGCATTCGTAACTGTGACTTGATGTCTTTTCTCTACATCACAAAATATTATAAATAAACGCAACAAACCTCATTTTTCTTGTTTTGAAATTGGTAGTTTTCCAATCTGGTAATCAGATCTTCAAAGCGCACTATGAATGCATCATTATTCTGAACGAATAACTTTAGTTTTCGAATACCTCTGTGGCTGGTAGTGAACGAAGTACGTTTAACATCAATCTTCCTTCAGCAATACTTGACTGTATTTCCTCTAAGCGAGTGCCAAGGCCAGTGTTATCCTCACTCATCTATGATTTTTAAATTCGAATGAACTGAACTGAAGACTTCTGGGGTGAGACGTTCAACCTGCAAACAGAAACATACACCACTGAATAGGAAAATTGTGCAACGCTAATTTAATGACTTGGATGACAGTATACCTAGATAACTCGACTTTGTGAGTTTCTGCAGGAAACAGCTTATTTGATGCCGGTTTAAAAAAAGCATCTGAGATCTCCAAATATCTAGTGTTTGACCGAAAATTTATTACCACCTTAGCATTAGCATGACACTGCAAAAATAGAAGTACAAGGAGATAAACTAGTTCACAGATCGTTATCATTATTATTATAATAACACAAACATGGTACAGCACGAACACCAAGAAATGCGCCACACAAAATGTAACATTTTTGAAGACACAAAGCGAAGAAAAGTGGATAAAGAGAAAAAGACAATAAGAATAAAGTGGTTGGAAGGGCAGTCCAGTAAGAAACATTCAAAAACAAAATATTCACTTTTCAGCAGCAAAAGATAGAAGGAAGCTACAGCATGGCCGCCACTAGTTTTGATTACGAGTCACATGTGATAACGTCTCAATCCACCGAGTTCCATGGTCTCTCGGACCCCTCCAAGGATTCGTGATGCACCAACAGATGATAACCTGATACAACTATCCTTCGTCCCACGGCGCCACGTCATACACTGACCGCCCATCAGTTTCTTTCATCCAGTTCCACGGCTGGCAAACAATGAACGGTAAGAAAGCCGTTGGGACGACATGCGTAATGCATGTCCAAGCCACCGAGACCCGTGTTTCCAGATGACTTCACTTATTGAATGACGATCTCCACCATCCCTAAACACAGGCTGTCGTACCTCAGGATTACGGATATGATGTTGCCACCGGATACCAACAATCCTGCGGAGATAACGATAATCGAATACACAGAGTCGCCTTATTCTTCGCTCGGAGAGGCTAGGTTTCACAAGCGTGCAGCAAAACTGCTTATACCGAAGAGTTATAAACCCAACCGACTAACGTCGCAACGGTGCCAAAGGTGGCCCAGATTGACGTATGCTACTCTGACTTTCGATATGCAGTTGGAAATCTCACCACACACCTACACTGGCATTCTGTTACCCAGATACACGAACTTTTCGACTACTTCCGACGGCTCACCACCAAGGGTGAGTGCAAGCAAAGGCTCCTGCCAATCTTGAAAGAGTACTCTACACTTTAATGGTGCAAAGTGCATGCCATACTCACTAATACTAATCGCCAACTGATGAAGAGCAACTTCTGCAGCCTATGTTATCTGATAGTAAGACGATATCGTCCGCATATTCAAGGTCGAACAGCCGTTCTCAGGGTAGTAGATCTACACTACCATTGCGAAGACGGGTGGTTGCATACCCTCACTCTACCTGAGGTGTTATTATAAGGGGGTTTCAAGATGTTGATAGATTTCTTAGGCACGCCCCTATCTAACTGAAAATTCCAGATTATAGCTCTGTCCAACGAACTGAAGCCAGCTCCAATGTCAAGAAACAACGATTGTTGGCCAGCTGTATGTCTGGCTGTTTACTTGGTAAACTAATAAACCATCACAATAAATATTCAGGCAATGTGGAGGTATCCGCATAGGGGCTCATAAGCCAATAGAGGTCGAACAATTTGATCCAGTGTAACAACGGAGAATTAGAAGTATATCAAATAGCAATTACTAATACCCGCTGTACAATAGGTGGTTATCGTGCCTTAGTGGCCTAGTGGGTAACGCTTTGGCATTTGGAGTGGTGGGTGAGGTTTGAGTCTCAGCAT